CCCCAAAACCCCAAAACCCCAAAACCCCAAAACCCCACTAGAGTTTAAAATAATTGAATTTTATATGAAGAAAATGAGACATTCGAGGGTCAGAAGAGAAGATTTAAGCATTTTTAGAGTTTATTTACCTGGAATTTATTTGATAAGTTTAGATCAATTTTAGTGCCTCATTTTGGACATATAGCTTTTGATTTAATCAAGCTGAATAGACTTAATTACTCTTCAAACAAAATTTATCTGTTATTCGAAAGCTTCTTTATTTTAGGATAAGCTCAGATAAAGCTATAAGCTTTCATATTTGATATTAATTTCTATTTGAGATTTACTTGAACTTCAAAATAACCCTAAATAGTCGCAGGGCAGAAAGATCAGCCAGACTTTTAAATACAAAAAATGGGATAGAGAAGACACAGGTAATCTTAATGCTATCTTCTCAGGAAATTTACATTGAAAAAGATAATTTAAGACCTCTCAAACTTCTAATTTCTTCATGTTTCCTTAAAAATTGTAAAATATTTGCCTTAGCTTTTAAATCCCAACAAAATCTTAAAACTTTGAAAAATCTTATAATAAGATTTGCTCAAAATTTTTACTGCCAACATCTAACTGCTACTAGCAATGCAATCAAAACTAGCAGATCCCAACAGAAGTATCTGAGAGATTGTCAATGAGCTCCATGTTCTCATTGACCTGAAGGTAAAGACTGAGGTCATAGAGTAGCTGACGAAGATCGAGGAAGACAAGAGAGCTAGGAAGGGGCAGAGAGGAAGAAGGAGTGGTGAGTGGGGATTTGGGTGAGGTGTGAGTGTGGTTTAGAGAAGGGAGTGGAGAAGGGAGTGGAGAAGGAAGAGAGGAGGTAGGGGTTTAGAGGTGATTTTAGAGGGGAGGGGAAGGAGAGTTGTCAAGAGGATGTTAAGAGGAGGATAAAGAAGCTTTATAAGCGGAATGAAGAGCTTACGTCGAGTAGGTTTTTCTGTGTTTTTGGGGGGTTTTATGGTTGAGGAGAAAGATTGGAGATGATAAGGCTTTTAGTGCTGAAGAAGAATATTAGGGATAAGAGAAAGTTCTTTTACTCTCAGAAGAAGAAGGAAGAGAGATCACAACTGACAACTTTTCAAACAATGATTAAGGTAGATACCAGATTGAGGAAATTTCGAGAAAAATTAAAATAAGTCTTTTTCTCAACAAAGATCTGTTGAGAGAAAGCGCAAGGAGCGTTCAAAGAATCTCAAGGCCAAGGCTCTCCAGTCTCATTATACAGATGATATAGTTGTACATCGAGACCTCTCTGAAAGTATGCTTATACTATAACATTTAGACAACAGTGATAATTCAATCATAATTATATCCAAAACGAATAGCACAAGAATTTCTCCAAACAGAGAAATCAAATAACCACATTAAACAAGAAAAAGAACTTCGGAAGAAAATTGAGCTCCTTTCCGCAAATCTAGAAGCAAAAAATGAGAAGATTAGGAGAAAGAAGATTCTCTTAAACCAGTTGACACGGAAGATGGTAAACCGTGGTCTTAAGAAGTCCTTCACATTAAACACACGTAACCTCCCTCCTTACATATAGTACACTTGCCTACATCCACTACAAAACCAAATTCCAGGTACAAATAATAACCTTATCTGCGAACAACCCGTTAAAACCCCTTAAAATCACGGCTAAATCTCCTCAAAAATAACTATTCACAGTCAAATTTCTCTAAATTTACAGTACAAAAATTGTGAAAAGTGCTAAAATAGGGGGTAAATTTTTATCGACAATTTTTGAACGTGATTTTGGGGTTTTGGGGTTTTGGGGTTTTGGGG